TTTCCGCCCTCGGGTGGTTTTGGGAGGCTGGTACTGCCTCGGGCAAAAAAGCAGTTTTCCGGAACTCGTTCGAAAAGTCTCCTTTACGAACCTCGTTACGTCCATCGCCTTTGGCTCGGGCCGCAAACCTCTCGGTTCGCAAACAGAGACTTTTCAAACTCGTAGGAAAACTACTATTTTATTTTTAATCCTGTAGTTAAATTACTATTGAAGTGATCATTAACCAGACAAATTACGTTCTCACTTTGCGTCCTTAAGAAAAAAAATAGGATACGCGACTCGGGTGGAGGCCTTCCCGCCCTTGAGGGCACTTTCCGCCCTTCAAGTACTTTCGTCCCTCGGGCGGAAAGTAATCGGCGGGCGGAAAGTGCGCCCGCGGGCGGGATGAAGCACTTTCCGCCCTAGTGGCGTAATATACTATTCTGTGAAACAAATACTGAATACTAAAAAAATTTTATTGGAGCGGATTTTATAACAGAAAATGGAAGACGGAAGATCATCGGCAACTCATTTAGTATAACGTTCTAATCTACAAAAAAAGACGATTACTTAAGGAGATAAAAAAAGAAGTTCAGAAAATTCTGTACTTGAGGTATAGAAAGATCGCTGTGTCAGTTAGAAAATCCTGCCAATTAATACTAAAGGGTTGTACTCAAGCTACAAATAGTTTTTTTCTTATCTTTTACTTCTCCAGCAACTTTTTCCGTAACTGGTCATCTACTAAAAAAGAAATAATTGTATTGGCAGCGTCTACTAGCTGGGAAAACTTTTGTAATTATCTTACTTCAAAGATGTGAAAAATGGGGGATCAAATGGTTGTTCAAGGATAATTGGAAACGCGAAGACTTTTTCCTTTTTCAGCAACCTCTTTCTCTTCTAAGAAGTCGAACGCTTTGCTAGGCAGTTTTTATTTTTCATTTCATTCAACGACTCCTCGTTATCGTATCTTATCTAATCACAACTAATCTCAGAATGATAGGCTACATCTTCAACTATTAGAAAGTTTGTTTTTCTACTATCGAAATCAGTGTAGAAATAGGATTATAAAATTATTCGCAAGTTTTAATCATCCCCAGAAAAAAATAAGTCCACAGAAAACTTCTTTTCAAATTCTTTTCAGACGAAAGAACTTAATTAAAAAGGAATCAAGGATGTAAGGAAAAATGGAAAAAGTGAAGTAAATATTACTTACGCATCCTCTACGACAGTGGCAAGAAAAAACTCGGCGCTCTTGTCGTTGGAGATGATGACAACGGGATCGATGGGAGTTTCGTCCTCGTCCTCGTTACTGCCAGATGCTGTATTCGTTGGCTCCTCGATGTTAGGTGCTACCAAAGCCATCGCGCCCAAAGCCGTCTCCGCGAACCTTACCACAGAATATCCACTACGTGTGATCTTAGTTGTAGGTTGTCTCTAAAGAAGCTTCTACAGAGGGAGACTGTGTATTTTTGCGAATTTGTGCGTGTATGGGGATAGTTATGCGAGTGAGCATATGAATCGTGACAGGAAGCTCGAGGAGTCAAAGAATTTCAAGATGTTGGGCTCCTCAGTCATTGTAATAAACTAGAATAAGTTAGGATAAGATTAGCAGCTCTTTTTTTTGTTTGAGTTGACTGACTATCCTTTTATCCCATACAGTTTTTCTACCATTTAAGGTGGGTTTTGTCCGTTTTTACAGAGTTTTCCTTACAATACAACAATAATTGAATTTATAAAATCGGAAAATTATATATCCATAGAGACTGGCATACAAAACCGATCCTATCATTGAATGTTTAAAAAACAGTATTTATTTTTAAACAAATTTTTGAAAAGGAGATTATTAAAATTACTTATTCAAGGTCAATGATATTTATGAAAATATAAGCAAACGATTCAATGCTTACTCTCTTAGGCACCTGGAGTCAGTTTTTACGTCACAACATGTGCTTTTACTCAAAAACCATTTAATTATTTCAATCCCGTCATTGCTTTTACGTTTTAAACATACAGAAATTATGTAAGAACAACTTTTTTTGACTTTAAAAAAATTTCTATTATTCTTTTGCGCGTTAAAATGATTCAAATTTTAACCGTTTATTTATAATTTTTTTCAAGGAACAGAAAAATTTGAGGAAAAAATGCTGAGCCTGATGAACATTCTCCGAATTTTTTTATGATATTCTTATGTTACGTCCTTACCCTAACAAGAAAAACCACCAAATGACTTATCTTGAACTTATCAATACTATCCAAAAGAAGGAGCAAACAAATTTTTTAGTATTGAAAGAGGTAACTGAGAATGAGGTATTTGGCCAGGAAACTATGCTTGTGATATAAATACAACGTTAAAAACTCACAGCCTAGTAACTAATTGGTAGAAAGCAAAAAGAATATCTAAAATTTCTAAATTGTTCATTACTGTAAATTATTATTGAAAAAGAATAAAAGCTGTGGGAAATGCATAAATAAGCAAAAATGTGTTTTTATTTTTAATTTTATTAAAATTCAATATATTATTATTGCTAACAAAAAATTACTTGTCTCTTAATATGAAACTGTGATTTGAGTATCACTAAATTGAGTTCGAATATTTTTTATCATAAAAGATTATTTAATAAAATCTAGATAGGGCTCATTTTGATCATGCAGTGCAACAACTTTATAGTTAATATCTGTATCTTACTTTGTTTGTAAAATGTTCGTTGAAACAAAAATAATAATAATAATACTTTGAATGATATTTTAACAATTTTCCTTTAATTTTGATGAATCAATCTTAAAATTCATACGAAAATATCAATAAATAAACACATTCTATTTTAACAACGTGCAAAGCGGTAAATTGACAATAAAATCAAATCATTCAAGTATATTACTTTTTGGTACTTTATTCGCAACTCTCAAAGTTTTGAGAGTTTTTGTCTAATTGCCAAGTTTTATTCAAGGCTGTGTAAGTCCAAGTTACTTTTTTCCAAGATCGATTTTTCTAAAACTGTTTTCTGCTAAATTTTTTAATACGCTTTTTTTTTGTACAATGTTTTTTATACAACTATGAATAAGTGAGCTTTTGAGAGTATATTGATCAAACAACAAACGTCTAAAAAAGCTATATTTTACTACTCATGTGTCAACTAAAAGCTTTATAATTCTTGGTAACGACAATGTGACGACAACATTTATTCACCAAATGCAGATGTATCAAACGAGCATTTTCATAGTAAGTATACAGACTTACCTCCTCGTATTTGCTATATTTTCTATGACACAGCCAGACTTGATATCTCCCGTTTTAGTCTTGCGTTCGGCACGTTTCTTTTTTTCCCTGTTTCGAAGTGCCTAAAACAGTATTTGCGATACGTTACATAAACGTTTTTTCCTGGTACTAATGTCTGATTATGATGAAAAAAAAAAGAAAATGTGTTCTGGATTTTGGTAATAACTATATTGAAAACACAACTAGTTAATAATATGTATTAGTGGTTTTCATCTCCTTAACAACGAACTTTGTCTACTATTTAAATAAATACTAGATTGCAAAAAAAAGTTTAAAAATACTATTGATAAGACGACAAAAGCCTAAGAAAAAATTTATGAAAACAGACTTACGCTAAATATCCTATAGTAAAGAATAACCATAGTTATACAAGGTATATAAAAACTGCTTAGGCTTGAGTAAATGATGAAGTCCGTGTGGTAGAATAGGCAGAGCTCGGGCTGGCGGTCGGGTGTATTGTTCAATCCAAGAACGATTGGACTACCGATTGCTGCTGACACGAACCACACCAGCATTATTGTCAGCCATACTCTACGGTTGTTTTTGTGCTTCGCGTACTCTATAGGCCGCGTGACAGCAAAATATCTGCAGTTCAAATGGTCATTGGTCGGTATTATGTCAAAAACATCATTTTTTATCATTAAAATTTCGATGCAGTGCACTACATTGGAAGTAATGCAGTTTACAGAGTTTTAGTACAAATTATTCGGATTTCAGGCTTGTGGCAATGATGACAGTTGCAAAATTAATCCCTTCCAACTTTGTTGGTATGTGAATTTTCGAATAGCCGCTTAATTTTCAGAATCAGCCCGACGTTGGCGCGCGAAATCCATTTAGTTTATGCAAATTTTAAGAGTCGATATAATCTATAGCCATAATTTATTACGAGCAGTGATTGTTTTTAGAATTCTGGCCCTGATAACAAATTTTCCAATGATAATAAAGTGTTCATAATGTAAAAATATATTATTCATACAAACAGTAAAAATCAAAAATTGCGTGTCGATACTGATTGTATGCGCAATAAATATACTCTGCTCTATTACGTACAAGCAATAATCAGCGAATATCAGAATTTGATGAGTAGTTAAAATTAACAAGCCTAGAAGTTAACTGGCACATCAAAATATGTTGTTAATACCGAATTATTAAGCTTTGATTCCACATCAGATGAATATTTACATATTACTCATCAAGTCAATAGTTAAATTATTTTCTCTTATCGTAGCTTCACTCCGCCAAATTATACATGTATTGTACCATAGAGAGTAATACAAGAATTTTAATCATCAATCGTAACAGCTAAGTAAGAATCGAAGAAATGTTGACTTACCTGTCTACTGATATTGCTACTAAATTAAAAATCGAACTAGTGCTGCACATGACATCCATGGCGATGTAGAAGTCACAAACTACTGCTGGTAGATTCCACGTGCCGTTTACCTGCAACAAAAAAACATAAAATTATTTATTTTAATTACAGGATCATACATACACAACATATATACATACAAAACTCTTTTTTAGAACAATGAGTATGATTTATTGATGGCTTCATGATAAAACACCATCTTCACGGAGCCTTGTAATAATAGCGCGTGTCTTTGTAAATATTTTAGGGCAATAAATCCCTCTCGCATCTTAAGCTATAGAGTCCAATATTCACCGCAAAGCTCAAAGAAATAATTCACCCTGTAACACTTCTATTACTCTTCCCTGAAAAGGGGGAAATGGAAAAAGAAAGTAAAGAAAGCTCCAACGAAGTGGTGGGCCAGAGGAAAGAATCCGCAAAAAAGCTCGCTCGATTCAGCAGCTTGGAAACAATTAAAAAAAAAAAAAGCCAAGTTTCGTTTTGCAGTTAGCATATAATACTCACGGTGAGGCAACCGATGGACCGTGACAAGCCAAGTCCATGAATCAAAGCCATGCAGCGCATATACGGGAGCGCTAACTTGCACTTTGACTTTTTTTGCGCTCCACCCTACCTCTCTCTCTCCCTCCTCCTTGCGTATATACCTTCGCAGAGTAGGGGATGAAAGGGATCAGTGATTTATCGCCCGGGCTCTGATTTATCGAGTTATTAATACTTGACTGACTTTGGGCTTATTATTTTTATTGTGACAGTTGCTTATTATATACATTCTTTGGATCTTTTGTTGTCAAGCCCAGACTTATTCAATCAAGGGATTTGACACGAATGCAGGATTAAATGAGAGTCAAGTAAGATTATAACCTGGAAATAAGTAACAAGGAAAAATTATTTTATCTCAAAAACTATATCTCATTGAAACAATGGAATACATGTTAGACAATTAGAAAAATAACTTCTTACGTTCAGGAATTGCGTTACCTGTGGCATGTGAGGAGAATAATGCTTGAAACAAAATGTTTTTGAGCACATAGATAATTAACCTACGTTGATTTAAAAAAAATGTATATTAGTAGAACCACCGTAGTAAGAGAACCATGACAACCATGACTTTAAAAAATTTGAAGTAGTTCAAACATAGATCAATATTTTATCCAATTTCTATGATTGTGTAACTTATGACATTCTAATTCATGGTGAAACTCAATCCTTAGAGTTATAATATTATAATAATGCTATAATTCATGTCTGCAAGAGATTACCTAATTAATTCAAACCAATAAAGAAAAAGCTTTCCATGTAAAAATAGTTCAATTTTTCTGTTTACAAATTTTGTCATTAATTGTTTATTTGCACGCTATCATTTCACAGTAGCCATCTGCTGCTCTTTTTGACAAAATCATGAAGATTTGTTCATGCTCTGAATGTTTGTCCTGCTTTTGAATGCTGCATATACGGTCACACCGGCAAGTGCTCTTGCTTTGATCAATATATTCGCTTATTTGCATACATACGTATGCGAATAACAACATATTTGAAGTTGGATCCTTTGACCCACACGTATTCTAGAGAAGTGTAGGGTAGACCATTTAGAAAGTCAAAGGATGCATTGGTCAGTGATGATAGAGTAAGGATAATGGTTAAATAGTTCAAGTCCACATGACAACAAGGAATTTCGTAGTTGATCTTATAGGGAAGACACCCAAATGTATGTCCATTAGTAAATATCAATAGATGCCTGTCAACAAATAATACAAAGATCTTCCGTCTGCAATGGCTACTTGACTAATTGCAAGCGTTGTATGACACTTTCAGTGTAAACAATATAATTATTATGTTATATTCTCTGAATGTTATACATTTAATTTATAATGGTTAGAAAGATACGTATTGTTCAAGATTATGAATAAAGTTTTTCAATCATGTTAATTATTCCTTTAAATACATTCACTTAAAAACATTTTCAATTGAAGACGTCAGGATGTACTATCACTTTCATGATCGTAATTTGTGGAAAACATGTTGCTATACGTATACTATTATTTCTTAAAAACCGCATTAATAATGAAATTAAACTAAACTACTTTGTAAATCCTTTGTAACTTATATAGTCGTGGCCAAAATAAATAAGTGACTTTTAAGTGTACAACAGTATGTTTATCTTATATTTTTTAACAATAAAATAACTACTGAAGGGAGAATAAGGAAGCTACTATAACACTAAGAAAATCTTCGATTAAATCCCTAATAGACGCCACTTATTTCCTCAGCTGAAATCCGCAAAAGCTTAGAAAGAATCGTAGCATAATCTTTCCTAAGGTTTCGGACTTGCGCTTCGTTAATTACGACTGTTTTACGGATACCCAGTTTCGAAAGCCCGACCCACGTGCTGGTGCATCTCTAGTTAAATCGTCTTGCAAATAAGTACGCTCCCCAGACTTTATTCGTTGCAAAACTCCGCCAGGGTGGTCCAAGTATTTATTCGTCCACCCAAACAAGAGGCCATTAGTTGCATTCACAAACTTGCAGCTCATTGTGGGTGAATTTTTTGTAAGTTTATTCGCTTCGCAAGCTCTTGCGATAATCCATATCATAGCGCATTGCAATTCACATAATTGCCTCGACAGAGACAGCCCTTACAAAAAAGTTCATCAGCAGTGATAAATTTGCTGAAACAATTTTTTTACAATCGCCAAACAGCGAGAATCGCGTAATTAATGTTCATTCACTGATCGGAATGCGTTTAATCTTCCACTTTCACCAACAAGGATAATATTCACACGTGGTAATTAGGACCCTCATTATAATTTTAGATTACCAACGTTTTATCTTCCAAAAGCTGTCGGTTCCATGGAAGCACCAAAGAAGCAAGCATAGCACACGTGCCAGGAGAGATAAAAACCTGGGGCTGAAAAAGCTCACTGGAAAACAAAATTACGAGTAAAAGAAAAAAGGAAATGAAAAAAAAAAAAAAATCGGAAAAATAAATAAACTAGAGAATGGAGGCAAATACCTGGTAAATAAGGCTTTCGCGCGAATCGCTTGAGCCCACCCACCCCTAGATCTCCTCTCCAGAGTGCCCATTTAAGCCCAACAGAGGGACGCTTCTGCGCGAGACCTGCAATTAATGGCAGTGCTGCGAGCCAAACCAATGTGACGAAATCAAACTGGGCTCGCGTGCTGCATTTTTCGAAGCGTTTTAAAATGTGTGTCTTGTGCAGTGCTTTATTTTTGGTGCGTGATTAATGATACGTAAGGATGCGAAATTATTAAAAATCAAATTTGATATTTCTAGCTCTAAAAGTGAAGGATTTGTTGATCTCGCAAATTTTTAGTTGGTACAATTTTTCTAAATTTTTATTTTTATTTATTAGAAATGATGCCGTTAGTGACAGACTGGCCATAGAGTTTTAATAAATGAACAAAATAATAAAAAACATGTAATTAAATGGTTTTGAAACGATATTCTATTTATGAGTGTGCTTGATCAGACACAAAACTTTTAAATTTTGTTTCACGTTTGCAGGATAGTTTTCTGTAGATTTTAAAATGTGGATGTATTTTCTTATTGTTAACTGAGTAATCATTATGTTTAATTCTTACTAAGAAGCAGTAGAAAGCCCAACTTTTGGAAAGTAAAAGATGTAGAAAACCAGCACATCTAATTCCACGAAAGCTTATTTCAACTCGTAGATACTTTTATACTCACGTGAGTAACGACAACCCAAGTCCTTTGGATTATCATTAAAATGTGCCAACGCATTAATCCTCTAGCCCCTAGTATCATCTGAATGACACTCGTGAGAAAAAATCAACGTACGAGTATAGGCTCAAACAACGCTCAGACGACACCCGCAAACTCGAGACTCTGTATACCAGTACGCACTTATTTGGGCTACGTATGTATATATAACGTGAAGTACGTGCAAGCAACGCGCGTCTCATTGATGAAGCACTACTCGAGCGCTCGGATATAAAATACAAACGTGAAGTGGGGGCCGGGGGAGCTTATCGGGCTCAAAACAGATGATCCTTTATGCTGTACGACCATACTATACTGCTACTACTACTCTAAAGCACGAGAGTGCGTGCTGGTAAATTTGGAGCGCACGGCTGCTGCTCCTCTCAACCGGAGATAAGCTCGGAGGGGCAAACACTCTGCATCATTATTCCTCTGCTTTCCATCTTATCCAGCGTTGAGGCATTGATGCGTAAATAAAACAAATGCTCCCGCGATTTGTCAGGTTCCGGCATTGACGATCGAGCGATCTGATACGTGTGTAATTGCAATGAAAAGATGGAAAAAGAGAGATCAGATGTTAGTAAATAATATTGGGGTCCTTGTATTACCAGTTGGCTTTAAATTCCTGGAGGAAGGACTTGGGATACATCAACATCCATCCGTGGATTTTAAAAATGCTTAAAATTTATTTTTTGGACTGTAGAACTTCATTCAGATACAAAAAAAACAATACACCCGATGAGCATTTATTTCGTGAAGTACTTCTAAAGCTCATAATATAATAAACACATTTCCAACAGATGAAAAATTAAACTTTGTACCAAGCAGTACGAGAAAAGCGCATAATCATGGAACACTCTAGAGACGATTACTCATAACTAATACCAAGGTGGTTAAGGGAATATCTTTTATTTTTTCTAGTGAAGAAGATATAGTAAATTTTTAACAAACAATGTTGAATGAACCTACTTAAACACCACTAATGATGCTCTATTTCACGTGAATCTTTAAAATGCACTACCAATCGCGTAGTTACTCTTTTCACTGCTAATGTGTAACAAGTAGCTCAATCGTTTATCCGCAATGTGCTCAGCTGGATGTGGTAGAAAAAATAATGTAATTCTCATGCATGGGTGAAAAATAGCTTCCACCAATCGTGGACTAAGTCTGGCGTTTTCAATGAACCCCCTGCAACATCATTAATTTGAAACAATAACGGTGTACTGTGATCATGGTTAATGCAAACAACGATTCAATTAACGTTGAAGTTCTCCGACGAAATAATTCAAACGCGCTAGGTACTCCCGTACGTAATGCAAGCCCTCGTCTGAG